ACACTTGTTCGGGCGGCGGGAATGTTCGAACGGCGAACGGGTTATAGTTATCGCCACCCCAGGCCCCCCCATGAACGGCTAAATTACACGGGCGTGCATATTAAAAGACGCTCTCGACTGTTTGCCGGGTCGAAAGTTGCGCAGGCATTGTTTCCGTTTGCGCCCTCGCCTCGGCTGGTTACTTTGCTTACAAGCTTGTTTCTTGCGGGCGTCTTAAATGTATAATAGTGAAAGCAGAGACCCCAACTATCGGCATGTCGAACACCGTGAACGTATGTCGAGTGTGGAAAGCTCGCGGAAGCCGGAAAGCGGAAAGGTAGAGTGCCTTCGGTTACGATCAACGCGCACGGGGGAATTCCACGGCGAGTGTGTTTCCGTACTTTTCTACGTGCGTTGTTAAACTTGCCGCTTGCGAGACGAGCTCCAAGCAAACACACACATACATACATACAGGCATACACAACCCTCCGATTCGAGTTTAATTTGCTCGACAATTAATGTAAGAAACCGAAATTGAACTGAAATACCCAGCCAGCGCATGAATAATACACGGGGGCGGCTGCACAAACTTATTATTTAATTATTAGACAAAGGGGATGAAGTGGGTAGCTGTACTTGAACCGAAAACTTGTTTTGGCATTACACTTACAAACTATTCCACAAACAAGTTGGATACTTTGCAAAACTTGAGAAAAAAAACCGCGCAGGGTTGTGGTGGTGTGGAGGGTAGTTTGCTTGATCAATCAAGTTGACCAGCTCGTCGCCTGTCTGATCGCATGAATGCGCTCATCAGGACACTTTTTGATTTGCTGCCCGCCACCGCAAGAATCCCCAACCTGATCTGATTGCATATTCAGGATCGGTATTCATCGCGTGTGGCCGTGATTTTTGATTTCGCACATCGATATCATCCTTTTTCACTTTTTCGCGCACAAACTTCATCGCGAATCTTTTTATTCAAGCGGTGTCTTTGCACGTTTTATGCGAGAAAAGCTTTTCGCACTCGAGTGCGCGCGTCAGTGTCAAGGGTCTCGTAATACCGATATACCTACCCTTATAATAAGTTTGCACCTTTGGGGCGGCGGCGAAAAACCCAACACTAGGGGTGTGAAATACCGGTATTTTTACTCAAGTCAAAATATACATTTCAATCCTTCTTTACTCATTGTTTTCGCTAAATTTATTTCGTATTTTATCATAATAAAACGCGTTATTGCCCTAAACAGATATTCCGCGCAAATTATCACGATCCGTCAGCCGGCTTCCCCTTGGAAGCAAAGCGTGTAACATTAACTCGATTCTACCGCCGCCGCCGCCGCTTTACGATCCAGCACAATTCCGAAGCGTGAGGGCGGCGTGAGTGGCAAGTCACTCAAGTGTTTAGCTCCGTTTTGTGCGCGCACATGTACGATATGCGGCGGTGTGTCGCAATTAATTACACGCCATGAGCTGGTGCGGCAAACACCTTTATTATGTAATTTATTTACATTTGTTTACTGCTCGCCGCAGCGATCGTTAAATTGACTTCTCTCTTATTATCGCTTTGTTTGTTTGTTTATGCGCTCCGTCGTCGCTGTCGTTGTTGTTGTGTTGTCGCGCTGCTTCAGGTTGACATGCACTTGCATATTTGCCGGCAGGAATTTAACGTCGAATGTCGAATCAATTAATAACAACAAAAATATTGTGTTGAATGAGTTGGGTGATTTGATTCATAAAAAACGCACGCACTTATTGAATAAGATTACGCGTGGCCCGGTGACTAAGTACGCTGATTATGGCATTGTTTCTGCGCGCTTGTGTTTGTTGTTAAACATTTTAATCTCGGCGACGGCGTTTGGCATTTTTCATTTTGCGCGCTCCATTGTTTCCCATGCATTTGCATATCTTCAACTTTATTTACTATTGTTAATAAATAAACGGTATGTTTCCATTACGGACTTATTTTCGATGTTGGGCACCCACTAGACGCGAATTGGTTAGGTGAGCACCTTAAACCGCATTGGATTATGAATATATCGCATTTGGTTTTGCATTATGCGCGCTATTGTTTCGCCGCGTTTGAATATTCATCATTATTTACTATTGTCAATAAATAAACACGTTCTTGCATGCGTCCGCATGTGTGCATTAATTAAATATCGTGCGAATTTAAAATAGTTCAGGAATCAAAGCGCGAGTGACGTAATTGTTGGTAATTTAATCATATTTACTGCATGTGTGCATTTTGTTGACCGCTCGGCGCAATGTTTTTCTTTGCGGTTTTTAAGAATCGTTTGTTTATTTTTCTCGCTGCAGCACAAAGCGCAATTATCAACAAATGGTTATAAAAATGCGTGTTCTTTAAACACACACACTCGCTGCGTGCGACAATGATAAATTATTTCAATACAAATTTGTGCATTCCTCTCATCTGAAATATTTATTTGACTATTATTAGCCGCGTACGGACGCTCGCGTGCATTATGCAACAACGTGCAAACGGCGAATCTAAAAATACGAATAATATTTAATATAAACGCCAGATAAAATAAAAGAACGGATGTATAAACGTAAATATCCAACATTGAGCCACTCCTGTTTGGGCGAGTGATCAATGTGCAATTAAAACAAATAGTTTTATTGTTGATGATGCGGTCCTGTTGTAAGTTCGAGCACGTTGTCGCCGGCAGGTGTATGCTTCGTTCTCGGCGGCGCGCTCGGTTTGCTTTTGCATTTCTCTAAACTCTAAATATAACTAAGTAAACAACATCTCTCATACGGGCGAGGCGGGCAGACATGTAAACAGTAAACAACATTATGTGCGCGCTGCGAGCGCAAGCCTGCGTTCCATGCTCAGTATGTGCTCGTCGCCATGTGCCTGCACACGGTTTCCGCTCGCGATCGCCATTTTCGAATTTCCCGCCGAAATTACGTGCAACGTGTGGGTGTGTGTGAATGTGCAATCCAGTGTGGCAGAGTTTAAGGATATATTCTGTTTATGCATCAGGTAACAAAAGGGAATAAATATTTCTCGTAAATGTCCCCGGGCGACATTGATAGAAACAGCGAAATGTCATCGATGTCGCGCGCGCGTTTGTTTTGGGCTTAAATGTCACGCTAAATTACAAAACTTTTCCGGTTTTGTATCGGCGCCCGTTGTATGTGTCATCCGGATTCAATTCGGCGCGTACATATATTTTTACGAGCACGTGCACGGATGATGCGTAAGGGTTGTTAAAAAGTTTTCCGATCATCCCGGCGCAGTCAAACTTTGCCCTCGCGCTATTGATTGATACAAATCCAGAGCGATATTCGCGCAAAAATTCAAATTATTTGCTTTAATAATTCAACTAAATTAACGAGTTGTACGCTCCACGTGCGAAATTAACATTGCAAATGGCGACACACTTTGCATATCACGCATGGTTTTCCATTCAATGTGGAATTTTATGCAAAAACGAAGGAAATGAAATGCGTAAGGAACACTGAAACACGGACAAGATGCGTGCGTGTGTGTGTGGGTGAGTGTGGGTGAGTGTCTCCCCTTCGCACCCGGTCGGGCCAGAGTAAATAAACTTGCATCTGGCGATGTGTGGCCGTTGCACATTGGTCCTCGGGAAAAATTACGTCTACATGTTGGAAACGTGTGGTGTGTTTGTTCGGTCGAGCTCAAGCATAATGCGTGCGCTTGTGTGAACGGCAAACGTTCAGAAACGTTGTTTACAATTTGCCGTATGTTGTGTGTTTGCTTCTCAACTAGTCTTTTAGTATTTTAGTTGGAAATTGTTAAAATGAAAAATTCTGTTCGACGTTTTTAGGTTGGAGGGTCATCTTTTACCCTAAATTCCGCGCACCCCAATGAGCTAAACCCTTTTGTAACTTTTCACGCTGTTATTTTGATGCCCTAATCTCATTTGCATTTAAATATTACAAAATGTCAAAACGTCAATACCAATTGGACAAATATTCGTAAATGACTACTTCTTTGGCTCCCGAATGTTTACGTTTTGCATTTGTTATCAACTGCAGTGGGCCTTAAGACGTTGGGGGATGTTTGATCGTGATCTCTTTGTTACAAAGTTGAGTGAGTGCTTCAAGATTGCTCTCTTTTTTTGGTCAGGCGATTTTTTTGTTTGTTTGATCAAAGGGGAACAACCAGCGTCCTTTCTGCTGTCCACCACGGGACATACGACTAGATTAAACTTTGTTTGCCTAGTCCGCGGGCCCTTTGCCAATGTTTATCGAGGGTCCGGCCACTTTTCAAACTTCTTTCAAGCTTCTTATGACCTTGAGCTGCTTCTCCACTTGCCCATTTTGTGACCACAAAAGTTACAATTCATTGCCTGTGATTGCCTTGCGCTGCGAAAGAATGGTAGTGAAATGACACCCCTTGATGACGCTTGATGGGGAGGTTGTAATGAGATGCGGCCTGTGGCTTTGCGAAATAAATTAAACTCGCTTCGGTTGAATTTTACCAGATGAATGCACTCTCGGAGGGAAAAAAGTGCCGATAACGATAAACACGTCGGGCGTCCATCCCCTAATCCCGCCTAAATAAATACCACGAACGACGATACCCAAGAATAAATTGAGAATTCGGTTTGATCTTCGTCGAAAAGAATGCATGATAAAGCATCTGATTGAAGGCTGAATAGAAAATCGACGAGTGCAGCAGTTGCACTTTTTTTGTAAAACAACACACAACAAAGTATACAGTAGTTACTTGGTAGCTGGTGCATGCGCTGACGCTGCGGTTTTCTTGCGATTGCGAGCCGCTGAGACTTTTGAAATGAAAGCAGAAATTGTTTACGCGGGTTGCAGGTGTTCCCTGCGGATTTTTATCGACGGCACGTTTGTTTATTATCGTTCGCGCAATGTTTGCATCTCACGCGCGCCACCCAGGAACGCACTTAATCATATTCGCGATTCGCGGCTGGCCCGGTAGTTGTAATTACGCACATGCACACACAGCCTATGCATGACACAATGTGACACACGTCCACTATCTCGTTCGCGCGTCTCCGCGCCATTAGTTAGTGAGTAGACATCAGCGCGTAAACATCTCGGAAATAAATAACTAGAGTGTGTGAAAGTGTCGTGTGCGTATGTGTGTGTGGGCCAAGCAGCCGGAAACACAAATCGTTTCATTCATTAATTGACGCAACAGTGTGATAATGTATTGTTTGTCGTGGGATTAATTTCCATCGTGGATATCAGGGTTGTATTGGACGAGGCATGTCAAAGGGTAATACTAACCTAGTTTGTGGTTTTTTTCTCTTCGTAGACATTTTTCATTCGCGTTCCGCTTTTTTGAATTATATATGAATGTGGGTTGCTGATTCGTAGATTACCAAAGGTTACCGCATACGAAATTATAATATCTTTTTCAACTAAACGCAATGTCCCGAATAAATTTCCACCCTGCGCCACTGCCGCCACCAACATTATAAAATATAAACCGTAAGTTTGTGGGTGCGGTTGAAGCGCGGCGGTGGCGGGCGACGCTTTATTTTTCTCGCATTCGTGCGCAGCTGAATTGTTTTGCTCCTCTTCGTTTTTCGCACCATAAAGCGTCGCTTCATCAAATAAACTGCACGCCTGTGCAAATTTTCTTCGTTTTGACTTCGTTAAATATTCCCGCGGATCGCCCTTGATGAATGACTTTGCCTTTGCTGTGCCTTTTTTCCGCCCTTTCCCGACGACGAGTCAAGATCACCACCACCACCACGACTGAGGAAGTTCTTATTTTTATTTTACTTTCCGCTTTACTTCTCGCGTCCTATTCTTTTATTTCGTACCCCTCCGCCACTACCACTTGTTTTATTATTTCTTCTTGACTTCTTTCGTTTCATTCCGGGTTTTTCTGTTTTGAGTTTTCTTTCTTTATGCAAGAAAAGAAAAAGTTTGGATGGTGTCAGCTTGGTGGATGCGAATAAATTAATCAGCGCGCGTTCGATTCATTAGGGTGTTTTTCCTGTGATGGGGGAAGCTAATGAATAGTTTGCTGTTTCAGGGCCACTTAGGAGGCAACCCTTTCGACAGCGACGGCGTCGGCTGGACCAAGAATCACTATTCTCCGGCGACGACACCTTGGCCCCACCACGCTCTTCGACAATCTAGATACAGTGTAAGTGTATTGCAACATGTTATGTCGGCGCACACGTTATTATCACTATTATTATATAAACATCCTTATGCGTTCAAATTAACCAGAATTATCTCCGTCTTGGATAAGCCTGTGTTATTGCACTTTTTACTTTGGCGCTCTGTTTGTGTTTGGGCTCTGCGCTTTTGCAAAGTCACGTCCCGTGTAAACATCTCACCCCGGCAATGGAAATAAAGAAATATACTATAAAAGTAAAAGTAAATAAGCATAAAGTTTGTAGGTGAAGAAGCGCTAAGAATATGTATTAGACGAATGACGAATATAAAGCAGCATTATTGCATCGCGCGTGTGCTGGGGCGAATTTTCAATCGATGCCTCCTGCCTTTTCTCATTTTAAATCCGCAGCACAAACAATGCCTGACGTTCGAGCATTAAGCAGAACTTTGTCGCGCGCGCCAAACTTCATCATGTGCACACCCGTCACCCCCGCGTGTTTTATTACAGCCGCGTTCTTTGAGTTTGGTCCGTTTTCTGGGGCGGCGCACCCCTTGCCGGCTTAGGAATGAGTACCTACGATACTATTATGATGTAAACAACAAACAAAACGACCCTTGGAACTTGCGATGAGTGACGTGAGGGTAGTCTTTTTTCTTTGAAGAGGATCATAAGCGTCATGGAAAACACACGTGGGATTTCTCGAAATGTGTCATCATTTGGCGCCAGGGTCGTGGATATCTATGAAAAGTATCTAATATTGGTATTATTGATAACGTGTTTTACGCTGTTTTGTTTGCTGATGTCGATAATAAAATGTAGTATCTTGTATCTACTATATTGTTGTTTATTTTGCAAATTTAACAAAATCGAAAGTTACTAGATCATCGTTATCTATACGATTGATTCAGACGAGAAAATATAAAAACATTTAGCGCCTCCACCAAAATTTTGGAGAATTTTTAATTTTCGGACTTTACACTGCCAGAAAACAAACGCTCTTGTAATGTTATTGTTATCATCTCTAGTTATTTGACTATCTCACGTTTGTGGGCTTGACAGTATGCGTGTTTGCCTCACACTTCACTCTTGATAAGGTCGCCAGCAAGATTTCGAAGGATGGTTTCCACCACATGTGCGAGCCCACTCCGATTGCCACAATTGCGTTGTAACAAACATTTCGTAAACAACGCCTTAGAACAAATAAATAAAACGAGCAAACATTTTTTTATCTATATTTGTTCAAAAATAAAACCGACATGCGTTCCGCTCCATGTGTGTGTGTGCGCGCTTCAACTCACAATAACCGACATTATCTTTCCGAGGTTCCGAACAAAAATAGAAAATAGAGCGGAATCGACACATGACGCACTCTAGAGAAACAAATCTTTAAAGTAGTGATAGATTTGGTGATGAAAAATTGATATTATTTGTGACAATGTATCTATCCGCTGGATTTGATTAGACAATTGTTGTTTTTCAACGACATAAAAAACTCAATGCTCAGTACTAAAGTAAAGTCTACTCAATGTTGATTTATTTATTTGGTAATAGATAAAACTATCTATGTTTGTTGATCATGTTACGCACACGTGCGTGTGTGTTCACTGTTCACCGATTGATGATTTGTTATCAGACAATCGAAAATTTCGCCTCTCTAGAAGTCGTCGCAATGCACAATATGCAATTTACACAAATATTATTTTATTATTTTTTCGCGCGCTGCGCGCCTTGCAAGCGTGTTTATCTGTTTACTCTTTATGCGAGCGAAACGAAAAACAACAATAATAACACACACACATACACGCACGCATTCATACTCGTCGCCTGCTTGTTCGTTCGAAGCTATTGCATTTATTTATTTACTCGTTCGCTCGCCGCATATTGTTTTTTGTTTAGCTGCTTTTTGCGCAAACAAAGTGCGCTTGCGCCGGGTAGAAAAATGTTTGCGCGTTGCGCAACTGTAAATAAAAATAAATATAACAAATAGACGCGTTGTGCTCGTGTGTGTGTGTGTGTCGGAGCGAAAACAATGCACGCGCTCGATTATCATCCTCGTTGACTATTACGTGTTAGTCGCCGCTCGCGTGCCGCGTGCGCATCTAAATTATTAGAAAACTGACACTAAAGTTACACAAAATTACTCGGCTGGTGTGTGTTTCTGTGTGTGTGTGTGCATCATTCCGGAACCACGTGTGGATGAAACTTCGAATGCGATTCCGACAAGTAAGGCGATTCAATTTTTGTCGAGTTGAGAAAAAATCGTAACCTTCCAATACAGTCTAATTCAGTCATCGCAGAGTAAACAAATGACGTAAATTTATAATAAACAAATAAACACACGCTCGGAGATAAAAGATGTTTATTATTCTCGCGCGTAACCGGCGCGTCCGTCTTTGTCGCGCTCGATTTGTGCGAAACATAGTTTTTAACGCACATCGCGTTTAATTTATGCGCGATCATACAGGGCCGCATTAAATAAATTTCAAATCAATACCAATTAGAATTATGAATTAAAAAAAAGTTGTTGGTTGAATAGTGATGGTAAATATAGTGATAAATTGAGTAATTTAATTTTTGTGCGCAAGTCCAACCCTGGCCTGTATACGCAAATAATTTTGCAACATAGTGTAACGCTATTTGCATGTCGGGACAATTATTATAATTCGACTAGCGCTGACTAGCCGCAGTAGAATAAAAAACACAAACTTTATCGCGGCACTGATTGTTTAAACACTGAACTTTAGCGTTTTAAAGCGTTGAAGCGGTTTGATAATGCATGACGCTGTCGCGCTGGGCTTCCTCGAGTTTCAACGTTTGTCGAGAGGAGCGCGTTTCGTGGAAATATCAACAAATAACAAACATTTGTGTTTGGTTCATGTTTATCCGAATCAAAGTGCGAGAGCGAGTGTCCCGGGCGGTGGTTTTTGTCTCGCCGCTAACCATGTTTAACCAATGATGATGAGGACAAACAGAAACAACACTTTTTGTTTGCTCGGCCGCCATCTTGTCGACGGTGCTAATTCGTCGGAGAAACTTGTGTCGAGATGGGGAATGAACAAATATCAACAAAACAATTCCAGTTTTAGGAAGGAACTGGTGTGAAAATGAAAAAGTCTGCGTCATTGTCGATTGAATTCTAACAAAGACAATTATCGATTAGAGTTAATTTTCGAAATAATGAAGACCGGCTGCACACTTGCACTCTGGAGAGTTTTTAATTATCACTTTTAAATCCTCTTTAAAAATCGTCAAGATGCTGGCCTAAGTTCAGGGCACAGAAAAGGAAGGAAGCTATCGGCGAGTGGAAAAAAAGCCACCGGTTATATTTTCCCTCCACCCTCACACCCTCAGATGTCGTCGTTGGCGACTGTTTCGTTATACCTTTCCGGGTGTTCTGCTCTTTCTCTCCTCGCGCTTTAAATTGATCATCTGATTGCGATTTTACGGGTCACCGACGACTTTTGTGTGTTGGTCGTATTTATCGAAATGAAAGACTTTATTCCACTCGCACAATATCCAATCAAAAATTTATTATTGAAATACCGAAAGTAATTATCTGGAGAAACACAGGGTGGTCATCTCCAGACGGTCTGTTTTATTGTGTTTTCAAGCGGGCGCGCTGGGAAAGGAAAACAAGAAACGCATAAAAATTAACGATCGTTCAATAAGAGAATATTACGTCGTGCGAGTGTTTTTTACGACTTGCTGTGTTTGGGTTTTGCATGTACTTGATACACTCACTGACGATTGGAAAAATCGCTGCCACACGCGAATGTTTAGATTTTCAAATTTGTGAATGTATGTGGCGCCGGTTTTTATTACTTTTCTCAAATAAAATTAAATTAAAGAGGTGGCGCGGTGTGATGGCAGCGATAATATTCCGTTTAAGAACCGGTGCGGTGGTTGCAGGTTAGGGGTTGGTTGATGATGCAGTTAGTTTCGCACGAATCCGCTTATTTATTTTTCTGCTGGTGTGTGCTTTATGCAAATGCGTTCCGGCGGGCCCCGTCGTAAGTGATATCACTTATGAGTACTTAACCGTACGCCACGCCGCCAGCCGCCATATTTGTTAAATGGCATTCCCGCTTGTTTGTCCAAAGAACGGCCTAGTTGTCTGTTTGCATCTCCGCCGCGTTGCTTTGCTTTTTCCGTAATGTGAGCACAAACACATGCCGCGCAGGCGGTTACCTCGGGTAAATAAAAATAAATATATTCCGCATCGCGCTTCCCATTTAGCGCGCTGCCTCTGCTGCTCGTGCTTTGTGATGTTTATATGGTGTGTGCCGCGCACCAGCGATGATGGGTTTGTTTACCGTGCTTAATGCATCTCAAGATGACTGGCTGCATTTCGGTTATCCTTCTCTCAGCGCCTCTCGCAGTGCGTAAACAACGATGATTGTACACTTTCTATCAAGGGTGTTTTCGTGCGCTGTGGCCGGTGCTTTTTTCGAAAAACATCCTCCGGAGGCGCAAGCGCGCGCGTGTCTGATAAATAACATATTGAGGATGCTGCTATTTCAAAACATCAACACGCCAAGCTGAAAAAATTGTTTTCCTCGTAGTTTTTTCCTTCTTTAATGCAATTTTGGTGGAGGCGCCGGGAAAGTGCGCAAGTTGCAAACTTTGCTCGTTAAAGCAGTAATGCACATCGGAAATATCGGCATTGCAGTTTTAGTAATTTGTCGGCTATCGATACATTTTGTAAGTGCAGAATGCGAGTTAATATTGCAGAAAATTCGACTTTTCATGGCAATCCAACAATCGTTAGCTGCTCGATTGGGTTTCCTTTGCATGTACATTACCATTTGTAATTATTGAACGGTCGTTAACAAGTTACAAAGAGTCGTAGTAGTTTTTCTCGAATTCGCTGTTTTTAGAGGGTGAATTAATGCAAAAATATACGAGTTGTAGCGACGACCTAGTGAATTATTCTGTTATTAGCGTGAGCGAGGAGGCCTCCACGAAAGTCGAACGCTATGTGATGTGGTGGCATCCAGGCGAGTTTCGCAGGCCTGACCGCTGCAGGACAGCGTAGGCGTGGTGGAAGATTGCGCAGCCGCCACCTGGTTGGCACGAGGAGTTCGCGAACCGCCCAATCGCCGGCAGGCGCGGATCCGCGAACCTCGCTCGACGCTCGCGCCGCGCGCCGCGCAACACACAAACATCCTGGCGCACAAAACGTTGGCGAAACAACAAAAATAAAAGAGGCGCCGCGCCCGCCGCCCCACCAGCCCACCATATAACGGCAGCAGCATGGCTATATACAACAGAAAGCCGCATCTTTTCCGGCTCGGGGCCTCGCCCAGCCGCGGCTCAGCGCGCCCGGGCTAGGCCAATACACCGCCGACTCCGCCGCCGCCGATGTACACGTACTTTATTGCAAAATAGACAAATAAAGTTTTGCCGCGTCGCAGTCTCGTTTATGTACTAGCAAACTACATAAATGGAACCGCGCCCGGCTGCAGTCGCTGCATATTTGTAATCCAGGGGGTGGCAGGCCGCCCCGTCGCGCGACCAATGGCAAACTTGGAGCCATATGTCTCGAGCGCGCGCCTGGCCAAAACAATCAAACTTCCATCGTAACTTCCGGTTCGTGTGCCGGAAAGAATTGCGCTTCTTTGCATCTTTTCACCCCTAGCACCTACCTCTCGAGTGCTGTGTTTACGCAAATCCGGGATATGCGAAATGGCGAGGAAAATTTGCAACGAAAATTGCATAACAAAACGCTTCCGATAAAATTAGATTTAACCTCAACACGCGTTTTTTTTTCTCTGGGCTTCTATAGCTTCATTTGGAATCAGTGTCAATCGCACATTTCTTGCATGCTAATTCCTCCACTTCCTGTTTTCGCGCCTTCTGATTGGGAAGAATCGGCATAGCGGTCGATACTTGCACGTTTTTGTTCCGCCACCCCCGGCGCAAGCTTTTTTTTTACCTTGTCTTGAGTTTGTCTTATCAGCAGAAACGTACCTGCTATAAATACTTGTAGAGATCCACCAGGGAGAGAAACAGGTTCAATCCTGTAATTGCAAAAATTTATATAAATTATTCACATGCTTTTAACAACAATTAATTTTGTTTCGAATATTTGGCAACCAGTCAAGTTCTTGTACATTAAAAAACAAGGTCACATGAATAATAAATCAGGCCGTGGTTGATGTTACCCCAAAGATTTACCAAACAGTGAAAGTCATTAAACAAGCAATTCCTTAAAAAAATAACTTCCTTATAAATATTCAAAACCCGGATGGCGAGATTGCGGGCGGTCCATGGGGACGGTGCATTTTTCTATCCTTTTTCTTACAACCCTCTTACAAACCACCAAAGCACGTAGTAATTGCAAGAGGTGTGCGCGCCGCGGAAATAAAAATCAAATTATCGCGGACGTCCTGTATCGTTGTGCTCACGCGGAGAGGCACGGGGGGCTAAAGCTAAATTAGGGGATGATGGTATGATTATGACATTTTTTATAGGAAAATAACGCGCGCCGCCCATTTTTAAAAATATTGCCTACGTGATGCGAATTTATAATGAAATTTATATTGTGTGCCAACTTTAAGGGGATGCAAGAGCGCCCCCGTAAGAAATCGTTGCTTCCGCTTCGTTTACGCACGCCATTTAAACTTGCGAAAACGTGCTTCGTTTCGGAAAGACAAAAAATACATCGAAATTTATCGCGAAATATTGATAAAGTTTTGTGTTTCGTTAATCCGCACATCTTGGCGATCATTTCAAGCCAAGATGGTGTTACCCCTTTTCTTGGTGCGTTATGATTTGGTTATTACGTCAAGCTGACGACACGTTGAGTGATTTACGCGCCCGCGACGTTAATACTCGTACAACCGCCGAAACATGCTGATGCGGCGGAGGATGTAAAAGACGAGCCAAAGCGAGAAATCATTGCCTAGTCAAACATACAAGAAGCAAATCTTGGGGCGGATGGGTCTTGGTGGGTGGCGAAATGAATAACATGAATATCGTTCCTCGTATAGGGGTGGCTGTGCGCGCGTGATTCCAACGCGGAATGACGCTGCAAGCCGACGCAAGTCGTAAACAACGTGACAATACAACACGGCCCCTCGATTATTTTCCTAAAATAAAAAATGCCTTCCAGCCCCCAACGTAGTGTCCAGCAAAATGGGTGCATTTGATTAGGACTATTTCTATTTCTGCGAGCGCTGCTTTTCTATTGTAGTCTCACCCCCCTGGAAAGCCATTACGTCCATCCTTGCCCGTAGTAATTGTAAATAACCTTCCACACTCCATCACTATCTCCACACACCCAAGTGGCTAAAACTAAAAAGTGAACAGGCCGTCTCCCAGTAGTGGTATTTTATTGCGGATCGTGTGAATGATCAAATGACCAAAAGCGAAAAGTTCGATAATCAACTCCAAGCGTCCACCGTCCTGTGGTTGACTTGGACTTTGGATATGTGCTGATGCTGATGTGCTGCCCGCACCACTATTGTAGTTTTGAGAAATGAGGGTGCTTTGCTGCAGCCCACACTCGAGGGGTTGTATCACGGTGTTCGGGACGCGCACCTTTTCGCGTTATTTATCTCCGCGATCGTCTCTTTGTCCTTCTGGTGACCGCAGGCGGATCCCGACTTGGCTCTGGACTTGTGTGTTATTAACAACCGCATCGATTCAAAGGATGTCAGAGGGATGTACGACAAACAGCTAATACAAAGTACTGAACGTTTCCAAGTATTTAACAGGTCGAGTCTGGAAAATCCAGATTATCCTCTAAAAGGAATAAATGACCATCAGTGTGTTATCTATCCTGCTTGTGCCATGCTTATTTTAACAAGTTCTTTATCCCTCTGCATCGATTTGTCTGGATATGGTCCAAGGAGAAATCCTGGCTATCAATAATTTGTCTAGGGTGTTGGATTGTTAATAATAAAATAAGGATTTTCTGCGTTTAGCGCTGCATTTTTTTGCCGCTGAGTTCTTATCGTTTCGTTTATTCCGCTGTGGCGCGGTGTCTGTATAAATGACCATATCTGACCGCCGTAAAAAAGCGCATTAGGCTAAGGACCGCCCCGAGTTTAGGGAGTTTATCCCGGACGGCGCGGACGAGTGTCCGGAGAGCGATAAAATCATGCGAGGTATATTCTTCCTAAACAGCGCGTTGGGATTTCGGAGATATGCGAAAATACTCCGAAACGCGTGTTTTATCAAGGGCTGTAAAATAAAATTAGCTATATCGCCGTGGACCACGACCAGGACCACTCATCCCCTAGGGAAAACATTACATTAGCTTTTAAAAATTAATTTACCCTCCGCACTCCTCTCATTCACACCAAATTTAAACCGTTTTTTTTTTCTTCCTGTTTTAGGATGATGGCATTATGGACCAGGACGTAGATGGTGATGGTGCCATCAACTTGTCCACGTCACAACGACCATCCGCAGCCACGACGCCCAACGATGGCATCCAACCCGAAGACGTCGAACAAGTCAGTAACACACAGAAATATCTCATGTATCTTTGGGGCGATTTGCAATAATTGATTCGCGCGCAGCCGGAAGTTCTAGTGTCCCTTCTAATCAAGGGCGAGACCATCCCTCATCGCTGAAACGCGGCGCTTGCTAATGCATTCGGATTTTTCATCTTAATTGAAAGAGTTTCTCTCCAGCTGTCTCCAATATAAAGTGAGACACTTTTTGTGTTTAGATGCGGTGGTCCCTCCCCCGCGCCGAAATGTATGCGTGTTATTCCAGTTTACTTTTTCGTTTCTTCCCCTCCGTGCAACCCAGCATCGCAGGGATGAATTGAAAGACGCCGAAACGAAGCAATTGCGAACTATAATTTAACTCCTGCGTTGGGCGCGCGCGGCATTGCGTTTCCGGTTGATAGATGCGTTCGATAAAGTTTTTCCCAGCTCCCGAAATGAAGATATTTTCGCCATGCTCGGGTATAATTAGAAACGAAGCTAATTTTGTATTCTTTGTTTTCGACGCGGGGCGCACTTTAATTAAGGACTTTTACAAATGCCAGGTGCCGTATGCTCATTTCGCACCTCGTGGGCGCGATTTCTTAATGTCGAAATTAAAACAGCGGTTTTTAAATATAATTTAATGCGAATTCGGTGAACTTCTCCAAACTGTCGTCGGAGTTTTAAATTAAAAACCGAAACTTTGTCCAGACGTAAATTCAATTTTACTTATTATTTTAATACGCTCGGTGGGGAAATTGCTGCGCGGGTGCATTTTTTCGGATGATCCCTCATGAACGTTTCAATTTCTTGGCCGATGCTAATGCGCCTAAATGGTTTTTGGTTTGCGAAGTGGTCGAAATGTCTTTCGCGGCCTGCATGCATAAGTGTGCCTCGGTGCGGGGCGGTCAATGGCGGCTTAAATCGCCACTCGAGAGTCCATTTAGACGCCACTTCACACTCCCCTTCGCGCACCCCATCATCGTCGCCGTAATCGTTTGCTCCTGCAACAGTCACACGCGAAATAAAACGAAATCGTCGCCGGGGATGACGAGCATGATGATCCTGATTTGCATTTTGCGAAGAAACTCGACGGCGAAAGCCTGTAATTACGCGATACATTTTATAAATGGAATATACGTCGATATTCGTCGCTGGGAAACTTTTTCCTTTCCCGCGGAAGAGGAGGGGTGCGTTTATCCGACGTAATCCACTTTGAATGGAAAGTAAGCAAATAATTTTTCGAACACGTTGCATTTTTGACCCTTTCGGTTTTCTTTCGCCTGCCGGCGGCAGCTGTATTCAATTTGAAGATGTAATTTTCATACACGTTGCAAGATTCATCACAATTCGATCTTGACTTGGTGTTTTGGCGGCGCAATGTCCCAGTCTCGGACCCAGTGGGATGGGGGAGGGAAAGACCAAATTGAATTTCGACACCGGCCTGTTTGGATACCTCCCCCCGTCCTGTTTAGTTTGCCGGAACAAAGAAAACAGCCATGTGTTTATTCTGCTTGAAATAGCACGCTGCCCTCACCTTCAGTCCAGCCCGCCGGTGGCCGATCGAGGTAAACATCTCACGACTGCGAATGCGGGATGCAAAGAGCGAAAACAGCTAATAATTTGAATTGCAGTATATGCAATGCATCGCGCGGTCTTAGCCGGATTAGCCGGAGTTGAGGTGGGTGGTGGTGGTGGTGGTGGTGGATGTGCTAGTACCTACCCCATTCGACGTTATTATACGACGTTATCTAGATAAATGGATGCACGGGCGAGGCGAATATTTATACGCTCGTTCGACGGCGTGTTTTCCTAACGTCGGCGAGATGCCCGTACACCCCATCCCCTCATGTGCGAGCGTGCTCAACCCCCTTCGAGAAGCCGAAAACACCCAGACTCTCTCCCATATCGAGTGCGCGCCACACTTTTGTAAACAATACCCTATTTAATTGCTTTCACAGTCGCCTGCACTCTTTTTCCAAAACAAATTCTGTGCGTCGCGAGCTGGGGAGCACAATCAGCGCCGACGGTAAATACAAAGTATTCATTCGCATTCACAAATGCAGATGAGATTTCAGGATCTGCTGACGATGACGTTCAATCTACTCCAGCGCAGGGCGGAATTTTTATTTCCCGTTTTGCGTTTTATGAGAATATTAGCAATTTCTTTGTTGCGACATGCCCGATCGGAAAAGTGTCAAATTTTAATGCGCCCAGCGAAATATATTACTGCGAGTGTGAAAGGGGAGCCGGGCGACGAGATTGTTGCGATAAAAAAAATTACTAATAGCAATATAGCGCGCATGCGATACGGATTTACAAGATGACACCCTCCTCCGCTGCCTCTGCCTGTTCGGGATGAATTTGGGATGAATTTGTTTTCGAGCAGATTTGCTCAATATTTTTCTTTCAAATTTGATTTCCAAGTTGTTTTGACGTCCCCGCAGTGGATGTGCACACAAACCATTTGATTAAATCCACCGCTGGACACAGTGGGCATCGTCCGAATTCGATTCTCGATCTGTGCCCGTCTTCCGCCGGTCGCCGTTTGTTATTCCGGCGTCCGCGGGGGTGAGCGAGTTACTTCTCGCCGCTGCTGGATTAGCTCTCCGGCAGCGGCATTTCCCTAACCGCCTCCGCGGGCGCCTTGTTTGTGTTGGGTTTCGAGATCCATCTGTAAAACAAATACCGCGCCGCGCCAGCCAGCTCTTATTGTCTTTTTGTTATAGAAATAAACTCACTTCCCCACCATGCTTTTAATTCTGCTCGAGCTAAACAAAAGCCTAATTCGTTTATCGCGAGCGCCCGCGTCCGAAAAAACATTGATAGATCATTTGTTTTATTTTTTTCCTTCTTGCTTGCTTTTTGTTTTCGCCATCTCGGCTGGGAGGAGGTCACACATGCGTTGATATATTTCGACCGATTTAGCTCGCTTTTAGCGCACAACCCCCGCTCGGTCAGCAAATGGCATCGAATTTGTCTTGGTTGCACTTAAAAAATGACTTTTCTCCGAATCACCTCCCGGGATTTATGCATTTAATATCAACTAATAACGATTTGCATTGCGACGAAAGCGTAAACAGATAAATATCGGACAACCCCCAACAAGCGAGCGCAAATAATAAACGACCATCACAACCGGACTGGTTTTTAGCTTAATTAGTCGGAGCCTTCTCTCTTTCAACCCGCCGAACGCCAGCCAGGCAGATTCGTAAACAATGTATAATTATATCGTTGTTTGCGTTGCGCAAGACGTTCTGTTTACCGAAACCGAACCGAACTTATCGCATTGTTAGTGCCAAGAAAATACCAAATCCCACGTCTCACTCCACAGCGTCTTAGACCGTGTTCGAATCGCCCGGCACACAAATTATGAGATGAATTAAACAGCAATATGTATACAGAGATTCTTCGTGGCCGCATTGTGTGTGAAGGTGAAAAGCACGAGAATAGGGGATCGGTGTTTATTTGGGCAGTTTGTGGATTCAACAGCAAAGACTTTCGGCCCCGCACAAGCTTAGCAACATCAAGAACAATACAAGGGGCCCCATTGTGCGCGCAGAGAGAGAAAAAAAGAAAACAAACGTATTTACTTTTAATTTCGATATACAATTAAAAGTATTTATATTTTTGCAGCAACCCCCCAGCTGTTGTGGTGGCAAATTAAACAAACCCCCCCTCTCTTTGCAGCGGGAGATTAGAATAATTTAATTAATTTTGGTGCATAATTAATAAGAAAACAACACAATATTTACTTAAATTTTAGTGCTGCTGCTGCTGTGGTATTTCTTGGGGCGGTGGAGAGTGGCGAAATTTATTTCCCGGTGGTTTTCAGGGGCTGTCAAAGTGCGAAAACTAACCCTCTTGTTTTATCGGCCGGCGTTTTTTCTTTCTTCTTGGGCGATTTTTTCGCCATCGGACGCGTTAACACCACGCCGAAAAGCGGTTTGATGGTGGTGTTATGCCACCGGACGAAGGGTGGTCTAATCTCGGACCGAGGTGACGGGTGACGAAGGACGACAATCAATGTTAACGCGCGAGAGTTTCTCTTATTTTTTTGCCCGAGTAAAGTTAAATTATTGGTGGGGTTTTTAATTTTAAACGTTTTCTGTTTATTTAATGTAATTTAATCTTGGAGTAGGTTGCGCGAATGTGGGGATTTGGATTTAGGGGTTGAATTCGCTGAAAATTATGTACACACTGCGAGTTTTATATGTTTTATGCTCGCCTGTATGCTGGTAAACAAGAAGAAGCGCGCTGCCGCCGCCGCCGCCGCCGCCGCCGCTTCCGGTCACTGTCTCCCATTATTTCGGTTAAACATTTCTCATCGCGGGCCGCCTCGCGCTGCCGCTCCACGAATACTAAATAAACACAAGTTTTAATTGAAGAATCTCGTTGCATATCTCGAAGCGATATGGACGGGGCGGCAGTGGCAGTGGCGGCTGCGCTCCCCAGAGTTATTATTAGATCGCTACAAGCTGATGCAAATACAGATTATAAAGATCGGCCAGATGAAAAATGAGATACAGGCATTGTCTTACTGTTATGACAATGGTGGTTCCCAACGCGACCGAGGCCAAATATTTGTCTTCCACCATAATGCCGCCACTGCCGCCGCCTGCATCATTCGGCGGCTACGTCGTGCATATTTATCATAACTACTGTTTATATACCTTCGCGGAGGAGTCACCGTGGCGCGAATTCACGATTCACCCTCTCTCATATGTCGCCCGCGAAAACCGCCGGCGCACGCGGTGCGCGCTGCGTCCTCGTTACGTATGCACTTGACTCCGCTTCAATAATATTAAAATTTGATTCTCTCGACGCTGCTACACTGCTGCTCCACATCGCGCGATGGTGCGTGAGGGCGGAGGGCGCACGCCGAGGGGTGTGAGGGTGGCGCAGTTATTCCTCTCTTATTCGGAGATCGATAATAAAAAGCGCTGCGACGTTTGCGGCCGTGTCACCCACCGTGTGTGTGAGTTGAAATAATATCGCGCGTGCTGGTATGATAATGAGGA